AGACCATGTTTCTTTCCATATTCAAATTCAAGAAGACCACATTCCCAAATTCAAAACCTTCCAGCTATTATATTTGTTGCAATAACAAATTCCAAATTCCAAATTTCAGATGCAAACCATATCCATTGTTGATTTTCTCCTTTTATCATCCACAGCCATTCCAGGCCTTAAGCATACAGACAGAGACCCATCCCATCATCACTGCAGCTATGGGAAACTTGCATCAAAGACTTATTTTGTCTATGGTATGCGGATAGCATCACAGGCCCACAAACACTTTTTGGCATAAATCACACATGCACCATATCATGGTAAACAAACCTTGGGGCAGATGTTTTCCATGGATGCATGTAGTGATAGTTTCCCAGTAGAACATATGGGCACCACCCACAAGCTTTCATCCACAGCCATGTGACCAAACCCAAGCCAAAGAGAGGATGCCACTGCACGCCTTTGAGCCACCAGCCATGGGGAAGACTTTATGCCACAGAATCCATGCCCATTGAAACGACCCCTTTTTCCACCCAGTGCCACTGGGTTGAAAGCAGGGTTTGCCCCATAGAGGGAGGTAGGGTGGGAGGGGGGGCCCAACCTGTGACCTGGCTGGGCCACCCCAAACAAGGAGGGCTGACATTCAGCTCTCCATCGCCAAATGACTCATAGCTGCCACCATGGCACTGCACATGTGGGTCAGGCACCTGCAACTTGATGCTTCCAGTCACTGGCTGCCAAGCAGGGTGCAGGCTGTCAGCACCCTTGCATGGCAGCCAGTGACTGGAAGCCAAGTAAATACCCAACAGGGTGCAAACCATTAAGGGTGCCATTTTTGACATGGCAACCACATTGGTTGACCTATGCACTGTGGACCATTGATGCCTTGGAGAAGCACCATGCCAAATGCCACATTGGAAGCTCCACTGGCTTCATTCCCATGGACAAAATGTTTTAATCAGTTCCATGCACCAAGATTTATCTTACAAGACAGCAGCCACTGTGGTGCTACCTTGCCACATTTATTGCAAAGCTTGGAAAAAAGATAGCTGCTGCTCACATGCATGTTCCATGAGTTTACAGCAAAAGCTTCTCAGCTACCCATGTTTTTTTGAAAATAAAGCTTCTGAACATGGAAAAAAAAACGTGTATGTCCATGGTGCAAGTCTACATATATTAATTTTAAAAGCAGCTTTTCTACTAAAAATACAAGTTTTCATCATGCAGCGGAATGACACTAAAGGCAAGCCGAAAAAAAAGTTATACATTGTTACTAACTAACATAACTTCCATAACTAGTTATATCAAAACCAGGATTTCAAGTGGTCCTATCATCAAGTCGCAGAAACCAAAAAAGTAACACGGCGACACGAAATCCATGGATCATCGCATTTGCAAGCAAAACGCAACCCCTGCTCACAGAGTGTCACCTTCCACCAAAGACCCAAAATCGTGCCGACGCACAGGCAAATAAAAACATGTTTTTTTGATGATGACACCGCACTGCTTGCCGTGTTGTTGCAAGGTCGTCGTCATGCAGCTGCCTTATATGATTGGTGTGATTTGAAATGACCGCTATGGCCTTCCAATGCAGTCATCGAATGGGCCTTGATTCGTTTCAAGAACCAAGCGCGTGTGACCTTGGGAAGATGCAAATCGGCACTGTGTATGTGCTCAAAAAAGGAAAAGAGAAGTGACGTTAAATGGGTGTTTGTTTCCGGTGCTGGCAGCATTCAACTTGAATTGTGTTCGATCAATGGGCTTGAAACAACAGCAGTTTGTTTTTGACAGCGCATGAACTCTCATGTTGCTAAAGTCACAACTTGGACAAATTTAGTGAATCTCAATTCGGGGTTCTTTGATGTTTCTGTGCATCAATATATTCCGTCTCCAGGCAGGGGGGATGAATTCGCCGGACAATGCAGGGAACAAATGGTTTATTCTCTTTTTGATCCCCCGCCCTGTCCGGAGATAAACCCCTCTTGTCTGGAGCTAGGGGTGCGGAAAAACATGTTTCCTGTTTATGTGGCTTTTGAAATCCCTTCCTATACGTCCCCCCTTTGTAGGAAGCCGCCCCGCGGGGTTCTTCCCCAGTCTCGCTGTACGTTTGGATTTTCGGTTCCAATTGCATCTAGAGGAGGAGAACCTACGCTACACTTATTCAAAGAAAGAAAAGTTGATTGCTTTTTTCCTTCACAATTATCGCCGGTTGTATCAAATATTTCGACCACTTGCTCGCTTGATTTTGGCAATTCCTGCGCATTACGTCCATTGTATTTCGCGAGATCTGTGTGTGTGAACTGGTTTTAGATGAAGAAACACGTTGGACATGTGCTTGCACAGGGTATGGCGCATTATCAGCATGTGAGCCCTTTTTTTCAGAAAACAGTGGGTGAACCAGATTCCTTTTGAATGCGGTACTACATTACATAACCTGCGCTGTTGACGATGTAGATGCTATATGCCCAAATTTTCAAGATGAAACTGGGACTACATGTTGTATATTTACTTGACTTCCTAGAAACCTTTCCAGGTTCAACCTGCGACCATGCATCTAGCGTGCAAAGTTGTAGTGCTTGACATGGATATCATTGATTTTTTAGCCGGCGCAAAATTCAAACAAATTGAACACAAGGAGAAACGCAAAAACGATGGGGTCCTTGCAAGCTTTTGCATTCAAGTTCATCAACCTCTGCTGTGAAAGGCTCGGCCGTGTATTTGAGCATGTCTGGCTTGAGAGTTCTTGACGTAGCACCTCTGCCCAAGCTTCACCTATGAAATATCACCTTGTCATGGGTCAGCATGCGGTGCCTATACAAAAAATACGCTTATTACCGGAGTAGATTTTCATAATTAGAGCTGGGCTTGGGGAAGAATATCTGAGTAGAACAGCGCAATACTCATTTTGAAGCAAAATCCCAACCATATTCAATAGCGCGCCCGTTTGGTGACCTTGGCTGTGGTACTTTTCTTAGGCAAAATAACATGTATATAAACCTATCACTTTGTTGATTGGTGCTCCCAACCCGTCACCTGTTTTGCAAAATGTGCAGAAAGCGAAATTGTTTTGGGGCACATGAAGAAGGTGACTAAGCTGATCTCTCTTTATTGCAAGTACTTGCCAGTGATTCACGGGCTGGCGATGATTCCTTACACCCGGCTCTTGGCCCAAATGAGTTAACAGGGTGCTAATGCACCGAAGCTGTATCGAAAACACTGTGCCAGACATCCTGGTAAGAATCTAACCATTGTTCACCACTCAGTGTGCCAAACATCGGTTCACGTAGACGATTCATATCAGCAGTGTTCAAGATCCATCTGATTGCAATATACTGGTTTGTTGATCAGAGCTCCGAAAGGCGAGCAAAATCAATCACCAACAGCGGGTTTTGAACATCGCTGATTTGACATTGATAGCATCTAGATTGCTGCGCAGGTTTCAAAAATCGCCAGGGTGCCATGCATGCTGGACTCATGGTATTTCACAACGCGCGTGTTTGCAAAGGGGAGGTGAAGATAAAGGAGATACAGGACCTGTGATTGACACGTGCAAAAACTGGAATTGATATACATGTGGATCATGTTTTCAAGTCCATGCATTTTATGTACAAAATGGTGATCGAAAAAAATATCATGTAGGATTAGAGCGGGACAGACAGATTCAGGTTGTTTGTTGTAGCTGCTCATTGTCAGTATGCAAGCCTAGGTACTATGTCCTCACAAATTCGATGAAGACAAGGTGTCAATGGGTAAGAACTTGTTCCAAACTAAATGCGTTTAGAAGGGATCTAACGTGTCACAAAAACCTATATAGCGTATAACTTACTTGAAATTCAGCTGGCGCATAGCTCAAGCAAACCCAAGGGCAGTTTGGCGGTGAACGTGCAGAAGTTTGTGCACACCTTTCTTTGCATTCAATTTCGCCAACCTTTGGCGTTAAAGGCTGTTCTGTGCACTGAAGCCTGTCTGACTTGAGAGTACCTGACTTGTATAGGCATTGTCTGCTGACATGCTTTAGTAAAAAGAATCGTTGTCTGAATGTCAGGGATGCAACAACATATGCAAAGTGTACAAAACCCAGTTGTAAAGTGCAAAGCATGCAAGCCAAAAGCCCAATACAAAATAATCAATACTCCAGGACCCACAAAAGCAAACAACGTATATATATATAATATTATATATACTAGAAATCATGCAGAGAAAACACGTTAACAAACACACACGCACACACACACCCAAAGATAGCATCACACTCTGCCAAGATGGAGGGCTAACAGTGATTGAGCATGATGGGGCAAGCAGGTTGCCCCTTGTTGTTATCGCCGTTGCTTCGCCGCCATTGGCGTCGTCGTCGTCGTCGCCGCACCGCCGCCATGTCGTCGCAATGACGTCGCCATGTCGTCGCAATGTCGTCGCCATGTCGTCGCAATGTCGTCGCCATGTCGTCGCAATGTCGTCGCCATGTTGTCGCCATGTCGTCGCCATGTCGTCGCAATGTCGTCACCATGCTGTGGCCATGCCGTTGCCATGCCGTCGCCCTTTAATTGCCTTGCCGTTGGCGTGCCGATACATTGCTGTCGTCATTTGGTTGTCCTGCCGTCGACTCATTGCCAGTGCCTGTTGCCTTCGTTTTGAGGGGCCAGACTAACAGAGGCCTATAGGCTGTAGCTAAGTTATAACTTATAAGTGTGTCTGTAACGAGATATGAGTTTGTCCAAAATGAGGAATACCCCGAAATGGCAATTTGAATGGTGTTTGTACTGTACGTTGCTCGTTGTGATTTCATATTGGGGTTCAATCTCTGTCCTGGCTACTGATGCTGGTATTGTTTTTAAGTTGTTTAATGAGGTGACCAGTCATTTTGACGGGAGAACATCGTGTTGAAATCCAAAATGGCATACATGTTGAAGTCAGGAAAAAAACATCAACAAGCAACATACATCAATTTGCATCAACATCAACATAAGTGTTTACTCCCCAAGACCTCTTTTGCCACGTTTTTGCACCAGGAACATGCACAAAAGGGATATTGAGTTGAAGGGCCGCGAGGCAGCAGACCAGGAGACTGGCCTAGAATTGGAGAATTCTACAAGACAACAATGAATTTTTGTTGGTAAAACATGGTAAAGCAACATATTTTATCTGTCAATTTTCCCCACCAAAATCAATGTATTCGTATTGAACAAACAATCATGATTTATATGGCAGTCGATCTAAAGGTCCTTGTAAGGAGTTGTAATTGCGAAAGCCGTGCGTGTTATGTTGATTCACTTGAAACAGTGCATCTTATGCTCAGACTCAAACAGTCATGCTGAGTCATGTTGATTCACTTGACTCAGACGGATGCAGGAGTACCGCTCCAGGGTTGCATACTGCATCCCCATTTTGGCCAATGTTGCCATGACGTATGATGTTTCCGTGCAACAGACGCCAGAGATGGTCGAGAAGGGCAAGCCTGCCGGCGTGTTGGGGGCTCAAAAAAGGGGCTAGATGGTTTCTCACTGCAGTCCATGGAAATTCCCCTGAAATTCCCATCAATTCCCCTGAAGATCCCAAAAGTAGTTGTGGCTTGAAAGAGCACCACTGCATGCCGCAGTAGCACTTAATCCCCTCCAAATCCCGAAATCCCACTGGGGGGAGACCAGGAACCTTGCGGGAAAGATGCTGAACGAGCCGGGGCAACCGGAGAGGCAATGCATCGTCATCCGGGTGGAAAGAGAGGAAGAAGTGGGGAACGCCAGTGCAGTGCTGGTGGACACGCAGCTTGGACATAAGGGACCCACGGGTACGCCGAAATCCCCTGGTTGATCGACATGGTCGGGAAAGGTTGGGAACATGTTGGGAAATCTCAGGAATATATACGGTGTCAGACACTGCCACAGCCTTCGCATCATAGCTTCAACTTGTGGTTCATCAGCAGACATTCCTCACAGTATTATGTTTGGTTCGATTCGCCCCTGCCAACTTGAAACGATCAGACTTCATTTTGTATATAGATGTATATATAGTTCATAAGGTCTAGCAGCTAGTGTGTTTAGTTTGCTGACCCTTGTCACATCAATCCCTTCCCCCGTTCCCGTCGACATGTTTGCACGCATGATCCGAGCAGAAGTTAGCTTAAATAGTTGGCAAGTATTGGTTGCAATCGATCAATCAACGTCAGGTTTTTTTTATCGTTTTGGAGGACTGAAAAAAACATTATTTTTCTTGAATAAACAAATCCATATATTTACGCCTGTTTCAAGTAAACAAATGGCATTTAGGAGCTCCATGCTGTTGCCAAGTGGTTAATTTTACCACATGTTAGTTGTTTCTCCCCTTCTTAACTATTGTAGGTCTTTCGACAAAAAACAACTATTCCCAAACATATATCCTTAAGTAGATCCCGAATTCCTTCTGGTTAAATCCTTACTTATCACCATTTTCCTAATCTATCTAACACTATATCCGATAAAAATGGTTGGTTTTAAAGGCCTACAATTAATCTTTCTTTTGCCAGTTGATACAACCAAGTCACCCAGAAAGATTCTAAACTCCCTAAGATCATTTGGCCGTTATAATCTAATGTTTCATGGTTCTTAGCATTTTTATATGTTTTTTGCCAGTCAAATCACCATTAGGGGATGGGTCAAAACCTGTTTTCCTTATTTCCTTATCATATTTGGATGAATAAACATCCACTCACCAGCTATTGGGGTACCCCTGGTGCATCCTAGTGCCAGGTTTTGACTCATAGCCATATGGTGAAACGGTGAAGCGACCATTTCTGAACTGGGGATCCATTTCCGAGGCTTCGTTGCCGCGCTGAAGCCGCAGCCAAGCGTGTGGGGCAGCCAGCCACTGAGGCCATAGTGGCTACGGGCCGGTGGTCGCCTCAGCGCGTGCTTCATGGAGGATTTGCTACGGAAACACTTAAAAAGGTGTGAAAACGTATGGTTTCCCGTTTGGAACATAATCTACATGGTATCAAAAAGTGGGTGTTTCACATCTATGTTAGTTTGTAGGATGAAAAAAGATGGGGGTTTATCAACCGGAAAAAATGGCTTTGGAACTTGCGAAAATTGAGGTGTAAGCATTTTGCAATGGGGTTATCACATGTTATAAACCTCTTGAAATGCAGTGGATGTTGAAAAAAAGGGTATTGTGAAGCTATTGGAAAAATTGTACAAAGGGATGTATCCCGGTATCCATCAGTTTGGTTGAAGGATCAGCTTTTGTCCCTGATTATATTTTGCTTATATCCACACAGGTTTGCTGTGTCGTTGTTTTGACATTTTCCCAGTAGGAAACCAACAAGAAATTAGAAATCTATCCTGTTTGGAAGGGCCTGTAAGCAATTCCACAACCCAGAATAAGATTGTAGTTGCGGATGAATATTCACTCCGTTTTTGCCGGTGGATGAACGCAGTGGCTGGGAAGCTCATAATATCAAGCTGTTTCCCGAAAGCGCCACCCATGGGGCTTTATTTACAAGCACATGTAAAATCCTATCGTTTATCATCATGTTCCCCTTGAAGAATATCCTAAAGTGGAGGGTGTGCCCCAATTTCATGCAAACCCATGTTATCCCGGTTCCGAGTTCCAGAGACATCCCGGAAAAAATCTTACCCTTAGCACTTCAATTCCCCCAATTCTTGCTCTTCACTTCCCAATTTCTCATCATTTTCTGCTAGTTGTACTTGGGTGTGCATCCCATTGGTAAAAAGCTGGGATCCACATCGTAAATTATCTATACTCGATAGCTACAAACCCAATGTTTATTCGTTAAATCATCTTATAGATCGTTTTCCACATAATCATCAATACCCATAAGATCCATGTATGCGATATATGGTAACATTTACCATCAATATACCCAAATGTTAGCATATATACCATACATGGATCCTATGGGATATAAAGAAAAAACACCAAAATTCCATGGGTTTTGGTGAAGTCCCATTTTTTTGCCATGGGTCAAATCACCTTTTTTTGGGGGCCACCGGTGGCCGCTGGCCGCCTTCGGCGGTCCCAGGTTGGCGCAGGTGGTGGCCGAGCGCGGCGGGCTCTCGGAGGCCTTGGGGCTCAGGCGGCGAGAGCTGGCGGCCTGGGAGGCGGCCGTTGGAGCGGAGGATCCAAGGACGGACCTGGATGGACCTGGAGGGTTGGGAACAGCCAGTTATCCAAGTTTATTCCAATTTTATTCCAATTTTTTAATTTATCCAATTTTATATAATGTTATTCCAATTTTGTTTGATGTTATCCAATTGATTCCAATAATATCCAATGAGCTATCCCAATTATCCACATATCCTGTGGATTTATGATGTATTTCAAAATTGTTTCTCTAGTTAATCGATAAAACATCATGTGGATTTCATGGAGAATTTCGGGGATTTCTAGTCGGACTTGAATCCCTTGAATCCCATGAAATGTGTGGACGGGATGGGATTTTGATAGGAATGTTGGAAATTTATAGCATGGGATGTTGGATGGAGTTATTTTGGAAAAAACATGTGGATTCAATGGGCTGAATCATGGGTGATTTATAATGAGTGGCGAGATGAAGAGGTGATTCATGGCTGTGATGAGTGATTTTCATGTGGATTTCATGAAGAAGTTGAAGAATTCTGAAAAGTCTATGGAGTGGAATCAAAGGAACTATGGGATGGTTTCTATGGGATCTTAATGGGATGTAAAGAATTTTATGGGGTTTTAGTGGAATTTTCATGGGAATTTAACGGGATTTTCATGTTGGATGTTGGATGTTGGATGTTGATGCATTTTTTTTATTGTGGATGTAGTGGGACTTTATTTTTTGGGATCCAATCGGAATTCTGTTGGGGATCTACGGGAATCCCGGTCATCCAGCGTGGATGAAGGGAATTCGTAGAGATCTGGATGTGGTGTTTAGACGGAGTTTTTTGACGATTTAATAGAAGACCTTCAACCTATATGGTGCTGAATCCAGTTTTGTTGGCTGAATTTGCTGTTTTCAAGTAATCGTTAATCTTAGTATATCTCAGTCTTAGTCCTGGATTTGGTGTTTTTCTTGGCGCCCAGGACGCTGATGGCCATGCACAACTTGGCCTTTGTCCTGGATTGCCTGGGGAACTATCCTGAGGCAATCCATCGTTGCCCTTTTCCTTTGGTTGGTTCTTCAGTAGTTCATAGCCCCCAGAAGTCGGAGAGGTCAAAGAAGGTCGGAAAATCCTCCTGAAATAGTGACGACTAAAATTATGTATCCATCTCTTTGGGGATTAGTATAATATTAGTAGAGAGCTATGCATTGAACAACCAACTATAATAAATGGTGGCAAATGGTATGCCGAATTACAGTAATGGTTCCTCCATTTTAACGAAAGACATCGTGGGTCAGAGCGCCTAAGATGTCTAACCCATCAACGGTTGCAGGGGTAGCCCATGTCTGTTTGCTTGTCGAGTCAGGGTGGATTCTTGAAGCCCGGAAATTTGGGGGAGCTGATTGAAAGACATGTCCCAGAGTAATCCCCTTCCAAATTGCTAGCTGATGGCAAGCATTGGCATTCGGGGAAATATCCAAGGGCCCTGTTTTCAGGAGGAAAATGCAGGATATTGCAGGATGAGCAAAAACATTGGGATCTGTTTGTTGTTTTTTTTCCTGGTGGTTTCATTCCTTCGTCAGAAAGCCGAAGTTATTTGGCATGATCCCCAACTGGTCCCAGGCAGAGGAGCTTCTGCGAAGAGCTCTGGAAGGACGAGAGAAACATCTGGGGCCGGAGCATCTGGATACCCTGAATTCGTTGCTGAATCTGGGTGATCTCTTAACGCACAAACGACAATTTGAGGAGGCCAAGGGGAACCTATGGGAACCTTATGGGGACAAGGAGGGTATTCTTCAATGACGTCTCGTTTGTTTTGTTGGGTACAAACTTGACTTTGTCGTGGTGGAGTCTTGCCAAGTGGTAGACAGAGTTTTCTTCACAGGGTTTGTTTTCAAGTGGATATCTGAGGCACTCGTTCCTTGTGCCGCACAGAGCAGGAAAAGTATGCGAGTGACCTTTCATTACAGGGTTGTCGGATACAAAAAGATCATTGGACAAAATACGCGCTTGGAATGATCCCCAGCCATAAACCACAAATGCCGATTTGGTAAACATGCTGGGCTTACAGTTTGGAGATAGCCTACTGTAAGAGATTAATGATTAATGAATAGAGTTTACTGTACACTTTCAAGCGTCAAGTCTGTAGTTTTAAGGCGGAAGTCTGGCTTCTACTTTGTTTTTGTTTCATTCAAAAGGATGAGTGGAGTTTCGATACTTGAGCCTTGAGGTTGCCCAAGCCTAGACTGAACGTCTCTTGTCGCCTTCACTGCCTGATAAAGCCGCGAGGCAGAACCGCTTTATCGCAGAGCACTTGAAGGAACTGAAGCGCAACTTGGACCAATGCATCCACATACCCTCATTTCTGTGAACAACTTGGCCGTTGTTCTGAAGAAGCAGAATAAGTTGGAGGAGGCGGGGCCAATTTTAGGACCACAACAGCGGCTCTTGTGCGTACAGATCCTTTTATTTTTTGTGTCCTGTGTTTTTCATGTTTACTCTATGGCTAACAGCGGCTAACATGCTGTCCCAGAGTCTACCAAGCTCTATTGCCTGTAAGACTTGGGAACCCCCAATTCTGACAAGATATCGTCATGTTTGCATTCAGTTTTATGTTTTCTATATATACTGTATACTGCCTCATTATTTTTGGGCAAAGTCAATGACATAACTTATCACTGTGGGATGTTTGGTGGATATTCACTCCACTTGAATGGGTGAAACACGACCAGCAAACATTCCGGGGAGGTTCACTTTGTTCGGCCCTTTGTTCTATCAAACATCTGGAAAAATACAGCACATCGACGCGCACTGGTGCAGAAAAAGAAAAACGACAAAAACAAACAAGCAACAAGGTGCAATTGATCCAAAACCTGCTTCGATTCAACTCAGAGTGTAGCGCGGCAAGAAACTAATCAATCGCTTCCTGTCTTCCCCAGCTCTGATTCCTTGGCCCTTCCTATCAAAACTCTACCAACTTTTTGCAAGGCCTAATGAGCCACATTGTCAGCTCGTTCTTATGACCAATGTCACCATCATGGACATTCTAAGCAGTACTGTAATTAAATTATCCTTGCTTTTGTTTTTCTTGATGTGTTTGGGGCTGTTCGGTTTTGCACGGTTGCATCAACATGAAACACGGACTTCAGCTTCAACACATTTGTTTGTTCCTTTGATAGGTTCTGTAACCACGAGTGAAGGCGTGTGTTGACATCCTGCGACCAGCGAAATGTGGGGCATCTCAATGTGTTGAACAGGCCTCATTCTACTAGCCATGTAAGGTAATCTGGTTGGCGGTTTGGAACATTTTATATTTTCCCAATAGTTGGGATGTTGATCCAGACTGACTAATATTTTTCAGGGGGTTGAAACCATCAACCAGTAATTGATCGATAATACTTGTATCGTGTAATCTGCTTACTCTGGAGGGACCAAAATGTTCAAAACATGCAAGGCGGAAAAACTTCATCGCAGAGCACTGGAAGGAACTGAAGCGCAACTTGGACCGATGCATCCGGACACGCTCGTTTACGTGAACAACTTGGCCGTTCTTCTACAGAATCAGAACAAGTTGGATGAGGTGGGGGCCAATTTCCGGCCATTGTATTCGGGGCATCTGGAAAATGTCTTCTGCCTATGTCCACTTTGCCCTTGTAGAATCTTGTAGATTTATGGTTCGGAAGCTGGATGGAGAGAAGTTAATTTGCCAACAACAGCATGGTCCAGTTATCTCATTTCTCCCTATCAAGGGACATGGAAAGCGTTGTGTTTTCATCACGGGTTGGCCACCCATACCCTTAGCCAGAGGTTGGTACATGTCCTGTTTTCGGGATTTGTTTTACATCACTTTCACCCGTCCCTGTTGGATATATTTGGATATTATTTATTATATCATATATACGGATACGTGTATATATATATATATATGTATCCATCCCCAAGAGTTGGGTGATCTTCAGCAACCAGGCCGTTTACCAAGCGTTGTTCTCCGTAGCATCGAGGCGGAAAGGTTCTTTCGCAGAGCATTGGAAGGAACTGAAGCACAGCTTGGAGCAACCCATCCGAGCACCCTTCAGTCAGTGACCAATCTGGCAGCTCTCCTTAAAGAGCAGAACAAGCTGGATGAGGCCGAATCAATTTCGGGATCACGTACAGATGGAGATAGATAGAACATATCAATGTATGTTACATAAATATATATATATATATATATATACATAGAGATAGTAAATGTTAAGAGAATTAGGGTATAGGCTAGGTGAAGTCTCGATGTCTTGAAGGTCCCTCGGCACCCCGCGAGGCCGAAGAGCTTCACCGTGCAGCCCTGGCATCGAAAGAGTCGCAGCTGGGGCCGAAGCATCGGAGTACCATCGCGTCGTTCTTTTACTTGGCGGATCTGCTGGAGGCGAAAGGGGCCTTCATCGAGGTGCCATGGACCATGATGGGCCATGATGGGCCATGGGTCAAGGGTTGGATAAAGCACTGGTAATTGAAAAACAAGGGGGGGTTATAAAGGCTGAACAAGAAATATAGTTGCTAGTACATGTATAGTTTTTGGTGTTTTTCAGGTGGAACAGAATCCAATTTTTTTTGGATCATGTATAACCTTGTCAAGACATCTCAACACCAAGCGGTTCTCTTTTTTACATGATGTTTTGTTTGATTTGGGTGAGATGTGCTGGTGAAAAACACTTCAACATGGTGTAAACTGATCTTCCCTACTGCCTTGTACCCTTCAAAATGATATCGGTTGCATCCTGATATTTTATTGATTGCTACGCGGCGCCGAGAACTTGCCAACGCCGGGATTTACCCCGGTGTCTGAGGCAGAGAAGCTTTATCTCAGTGAGCTGCGCGGATTGGAGGCCGCAGTTCCTCTTTTTGATTCAACGATGGAACTCGTAACCCCCAGTCACAAGTTGGTTTATAAACCAACTGAAGTAGTTCCAGATATTTGACACACACACACATATATATATATATCCTATAGTACTGTTTGTACAAAAACACCTTAGCTACCAAATGTGTGCACCAACATTGGTATATACTATACTGACTGTAAACCAATGATATATCCCATTATATACACGAGGTGTAAATGTATATGATGATGGTGATGATGATGATGATGGTGGTGGTGGTGATGATGATGCTGATGGTGATGGTGATGATGATGATGGTGGTGATGATGATGGTCATGATGATTGTGTTGATGATGGTGATGATGGTGTTGATGATGGTGATGGTGATGGTGATGGGTGTGATGATGGTGATGGTGATGGTGATGACGATGGTGATGATGGTGAGGATGATGATGATGGTGATGATCATGATGATGGTGGTGATGATGACGGTGATGGTGATGGTGATGGTGGTGATGATGGTGGTGATGGTGATGATGATGGTGGTGATGGTGGTGATGGTGGTGATGATGGTGTTGGTGATGGTGATGATCATGATGATGGTGGTGATGATGATGATGGTGATGATGATGATGGTGGTGATGGTGATGATGATTGTGATGGTGACGATGGTGATGATGGTGTTGGTGATGCTGATGATGGTGGTGATGGTGATGATGATGGTGATGGTGATGATGATGGCGATGGTAATGGTGATGATGATGGTGATGGTGATGGTGATGTTGATGATGTTGATGATTATGATGATGATGGTGATGGCGATGGTGATGATGATGATTGTGATGATGATGATGATGGTGGTGGTGATGATGATGGTGTTGTTGATGGGTGTGATGATGGTGATGGTGATGGTGATGATGATGGTGATGGTGATGGTGATGATGATGATGGTGATGATGATGGTGATGATGATGGTGATGGTGATGATTGGGTGGTGATGATTGTGTTGATGATGGTGGTGATTGTGATGGTGACGATGGTGATGGTGATGGTGATGGTGATGATGGTGATGGTGATGGTGATGGTGATGATGGTGGTGATGGTAATGATGATGGAGGTGGTGATGGTGGTGATGATGATGATGGCGATGGTGATGGTGATGGTGGTGGTGATGGTGATGGTGGTGATGATGATGATGGTGATGGTGATGATGATGTTGTTGATGATGGAAGTGATGATGGTGATGATGATGGTGATGATGATTGTGATGGTGACGGTGATGGTGAAGATGGTGATGGTGATGGTGATGGTGATGATTGTGTGGTGATGGTTGTGTTGATGATCGTGGTGATGGTGATGGTGATGATGATGATAATGATGATGGTGACGGTGATGATCATGATGATGGTGATGATGATGATGATGGTGATGGTGATGACGATGGTGGTGGTGATGGTGGTGATGATGGTGACGGTCATGGTGATGATGATTGTGATGGTGATGGTGATGGTGACGATGGTGATGGTGATGGTGATGATTGTGTGGTGATGATTGTGTTGATGATGGTGGTGATGGTGATGTTGATGATGGTGATGATGATGATGATGGTGATGGTGGTGGTGATGGTGATGAAGAAGAAGAAGATGATGATGATGGTGATGATGATGATGGCGATGGTGATGGTGATGGTGGTGGTGATGATGATGGTGGTGATGATGATGATGGTGATGGTGATGACGATGGTGTTGATGGTGGTGGTAATGATGGTGATTGTGATGGTGATGATGATTGTGATGGTGATGGTGATGGTGATGATGGTGGTGATGGTGATGATGATGGAGGTGGTGATGGTGGTGATGATGGTGTTGGTCATGGTGACGATGGTGATGATGATGATGATGGTGATGGTGATGTTCATGATGATGGTGATGATGATGATGGTGATGATGATGGTGGTGGTGATGGTGGTGAAGATTGTGATGGTGATGGTGATGATGATTGTGATGATGATGGTGATGGTGGTGGTGATGATGATGATGATGGTGATGATGGTGGTGGTGGTGACGATGGTGATGGCGATGGTGATGGTGATGATTGGGTGGTGATGATTGTGTTGATGATGGTGGTGATTGTGATGGTGACGATGGTGATGGTGATGGTGATGGTGATGATGGTGGTGATGGTGATGGTGATGATGGTGACGATGATGATGATGGTGATGATCATGATGATGGTGGTGATGATGACGGTGATGGTGATGGTGATGGTGGTGATGATGGTGGTGATGGTGATGATGATGGTGGTGATGGTGGTGATGATGGTGTTGGTGATGGTGATGATCATGATGATGGTGGTGATGATGATGATGGTGATGATGATGATGGTGGTGATGGTGATGATGATTGTGATCGTGACGATGGTGATGATGGTGTTGGTGATGCTGATGATGGTGGTGATGGTGATGATGATGGAGGTGGTGATGATGGTGTTGGTGATGGTGATGATTATTGTGATGGTGACGATGGTGATGGTGATGGTGATGGTGATGATGGTGGTGATGGTAATGATGATGGAGGTGGTGATGGTGGTGATGATGCTGTTGGTGATGGTGATGATGATGGAGGTGGTGATGGTGGTGATGGTGATGGTGATGGTGATGGTGATGGTGATGATGATGGAGGTGGTGATGGTGGTGATGATGGTGTTGGTGATGGTGATGATTATTGTGATGGTGACAATGGTGATGGTGATGGTGATGGTGATGATGGTGGTGATGGTGATGATGATGGAGGTGGTGATGGTGGTGATGATGATGATGGCGATGGTGATGGTGATGGTGGTGGTGATGGTGATGGTGGTGATGATGATGATGGTGATGGTGATGATGATGTTGTTGATGATGGAAGTGATGATGGTGATGATGATGGTGATGATGATTGTGATGGTGACGGTGATGGTGAAGATGGTGATGGTGATGGTGATGGTGATGATTGTGTGGTGATGATTGTGTTGATGATCGTGGTGATGGTGATGGTGATGATGATGATGATGATGGTTCATTATGAGGCTCCGCTCCGCAAAAAACGCGGCGGTCAGGCACTCCATGGCCCAGATGCCAAGGTGACGCGTGGACGGCGCAGAGCACTGCATCGCTTCCAACAGCAGCACGGCCTGGCTGGAGGTGTGCCGTGCACAACAAAAAAAATAAAGATGTATATATATATATATATGTATATGGTTATATATATATAGATTTTTATACACATACATATACATAGTAACCTTGGGGAAATTAGAGATCATGTGAAAATCCAGCTGTTGATTTCAAACAGTAAATGAAACATGAAGTCTAAGAGTCTAGAATGAAACTTGATCGAGCAAAACATGGACAAATACAGTCTCACCGTATTTTGTCTAGTGCACTGAATATTTGGAAATGTCAACGATGTGGGTTCAACAACGGAACGCAATCCCTGCATGATGAAGGTTATTTTTTCCTGGATCATGAAGATATTGATCACCAGGCCACCAGGACATTTAAACCATCAGGGAGCAGTGGACATGGGCAGGCATGGCCGTTTTTTTTAACAATCGCATGATTCGATCATGGAGCCAGATGGGAGGGTTCGGCGGGGAAGAAAGCATGGACAGACAGAAGGGAGCTGCCAAAACATGGTATCACAAGACCAAACTAGCAGGGTCCCAGGCGGTTCGCAGGGTCTGAGGTATGTTTGGAAATCATCCCGCCCCGCTTCCCCTCAACCCCGCGTCTTCGGTTCGACAATGGTGGCAAAGGAGGGAGGAGGGTAGGAAAATGACAGGACAATGACATATAACAAGTACCGAATAGACCAGCTTCGTTTCTTGCATGCAGGACAGACGGGTCAATGACTGACTGCAGCAGCCAACCAATGACCTGCGCCATTTGTGCAAAGTCAGAAGCCTTGGGTTCGGAAATTGTTGGTTGGCTCACGTCTCCACAGCAAGTGGTTCATGATAGTTGGGGTGTCATCTTGTAATCTACCACTCTAGTAGTTTTGTTCTTGGAACGATTGTTTTTTCAGAAAGAAAATCATAGTCTTCGCCTGAGCAGGGTGGGTAAAATGTTCCATTCCTCGAAAAATTTTTGGGGATGCTCTCCGCGAATGGGCTGCTGAATCAGGAGACAACTTAGAAACATATGCTTTGACCCTTGTGCCAGAGAGTGGTCTCGACATGTTTTGACAAACACATGGCAGTCAAATTCCCAAAACCTATACCTGGCGTGGGAATATTTGTCAGGCATCTTTCAAATCACCATGTGATCGGTGGTTTCAAACACATTATTTTTGTTTCCCTGTAAACAATGGGTTTCCTTCGAAAGTGGTGTTTAGGGCGGAGTCAAATCCACAGTCAAATCCATTGGTTGTGAGCATTTCAAAAATGTGCACCTGGCTCAAAACCTGAGGGCAGCTACACGAGCGCTCCAGGAAAAAAACAGTGGTGCGATTAGCATTATCGACCCCAAAAACATGTGTACGCATTGCAGAAAGCAACCTGGAATGTTGAAAGATGATCAACCCCTAAAATTGACAGGCTTAAGAATCTCTGTCACTGTAAAGTTCCATTGACCAGAGTGAGATTGGCTCACAGATGGTGTTCATTATTCAGGCCACCGTATCATATCCATCCTTCTCTGGGATCTTGGCACGTGGAATAGCGCCGGGCACATGTCGCTGGACGACCGTTCTAATGATTGGGAAGCCCGCCGGGACCTCGGCCTGAACGACATGGAGGAAATGGAACATATGCAGTGCGGCCAAAATGATATAGTTATTTGATATTATTTGTACATATATAATTCAAATAATTTTAGTATCTTTTTAACCTCCCAAATTACACCCCAATCTAAAACCGCTCATATAACTTATAGTAAACAATGCACCAAAGTGTTCCTCCCATCTGGCGCTGAGGCTTGTTGAAAGTGGAGGAAACGTTGCAGCAGCTGCTGGCTGCAGGATTAGAGAAATGCCTGGCTTCCGCGGAGGTTGAATCAGCTGCGTCCCTTGGAACATTTTGGAACGCCTGGGTTCAGGGGATCCTGTGAGGTGAGGGGTCATATTCCAAGAATCAAACAAGAACAATTAGTACACCAAGTCATCCAAACGGGGTTTCATATTACCGGCCAACATCAGTCGGTGCCGTGCCAGCCCATGGAGGCAAACTCCTCGGGTGGATGCTTGCAAACTCAATGTTCCCGAGCAGCCCGAGCAGGACTCTGGTCATGGTCCTTGAGCCGCATCGCTTGGTACCCCCAAGAGGTCAACATCTTGACATCAAGAATGTTTTGGCCCCCAAAGAAAACAAAGCAAACCATAGCAAATCAATGTTTGTTTATTTTCTTTGGCACCCATAAGTGACTACTTGTTTGCATTGTTTGTTCTATCACACCTGAAAATGTCAGACGTCAAAATGGTTGTTTGATCTTCCTGTGAGTCATTGGCACATAAGACTTCGGGCATTGACTATGTGTTTGTTTTCCACCCCTTCTTCGTATAAATATTACTAAACTCCCCCAAATAAAAAACATAGGGTTGGTGTGGCACTTCCGGATTTTTTTTTGGTTGGGCACAATTGGGTTCTTAATTGTGGTAATTGAGAATCAATAGGAGAACAGGATGTTGGAACAATGGGTTCAACCCACTATTAATAAAAATATATTGCCACCTGGAGAGTTTTTTTTTAATAGGGTCCCATCTGACAAGTTTTATTTTGAATTTTTATTACTAAGGTTTCATTGGAATATTAGGGGAAAGCATCGGAATCCAGTTTTCTGCAATATTTGTTATAGATTTTAATAAAGGACTTAATCGAATTCGAATTCTTTTTTAGTTTTATGTTCTGTGTTTTTCATTGGAATATTAGAGGCACCCTAATACAAAATACCCCCTAATAATAAGAACGTGTTTACCAGTTGGGGAGAGAGGATTACATGCTGATTATTTCGGCTGGTAACCTGGTGGTTGATATTTTGCTGCTTCCCTTTTTGGAGCGATGATACCAATTGAGACCACCAACCTTCAGCTCGGCGAAGCGGGTAGAGAACGCCATAGTGTTGGGATGTGAATTGGGGATATCCCAACATATCCCAACTATGGGATAATTCATGAATGATGCCATGGTCCGTGCTTCCACCCATTTGTTTGAACATGTTGGGAACAACCCGATTCCACAGGGGTTAGAAGCAAAAAATGAGCATGTGTTTCTCATCCTTAGACAAACACAAGTAAATTGTCACTTAATGCCAAGTTGAAATTGAAACCTCATTTTCCATGGGTTGATCATGGTTTGTCCTATATTATATGGTATTCTATTATATGCCCCTTATGCCCCATGACACCACATTGCACCCAATTGAACGACTCATTTTCCCAACGCCATGAATCCACCTGGCGGCCATAGAATTTGGAAACGCATCCGCCCAGTTACAACCACCATTCAAACCATGCATTTCATGCATATGTTTCACCCATTAGAAATCGATTACAACGTAAGTTGCAATATCTGCTTATCAAGTTTTAAGAGGTAACGGGGTTATAAGTTATAACAGTTATAACCTCCTATTTTGCATAGGGTAATATCCCATTCCAACTGTCATAACTTCATATCACCCCATTGAAACGTTGGTACAACTGCCAATTCACGGCCTGGCCAACGAAAGGCGGCGTTCTTCCACCCGAAGATCCGCCACCGTCTTTGCCAGCGCATCAAGTTCCATTGTAGCTCGGCAACTGGAGCAGAACGTAACTGAAAAAAGGGAAAAATGGTGGATGTATATGTTTTATATAATTAAATTGTTTTGATAATTAACTAACTTGGGATATCCCAACCCTTATAATAGAGTTTGGTTATTTTGGTTAATTACGCTTTTGTTTCATCCTTTCACCCTTCTTTCCTATAGAATTTCCCAATCATATGTCTCAATGTTTTATATATGACAGATAATTTGGCGCCGCAACAATATCCCAACAATTTCAAATTCCATGGAAAACAATTTACATTTGTATACAATATGGAATTCCAGTCATATTCCATGAATTATTATTTGATATTCCCAAGTATAGATTTTGAAACATTTACACCGCACCACTTTGATCCCTCGAACCACCTCCAGGCGAACTTGGTCCGACGCTCCAGCACCCGTGCAGCCCGCCAACGAGCCGCCGCTGCTGGACGACGGAGCTTCCAAGCCACTGATGCTTGGCACAGGAATTCTCCGTAGATGAGAAATGACAGTTATACCCCTGTTGATGGTTGGATTTAAGCATCATGTATGATAGTTGTTTTTTCTATGGTTCAACTATCAAAAATGGAATTTCAGATTTTTCCAGCCCAGAGCTTGACAAGATTTAAGTGAAACTCTAACAATCTGCAATAAGTATTGGGAGAATTTGGGAGTTAGTGGGAATCCCCTGTTGATTGGTGAATCTAACCGTCAGCTACAGTTCTTTTATGGGGGGTTAATGATCAAAGATGGTTTATACCAAGTGGATCCCCAGTTTTCGGGAATTGAATGAAACTTGAACCATCAACAACACGGACTTCACCATCAACCATATTGATTTTACTGTCATTGGTAAAATTTCAGGGAATTTAAGCATCACTAAGGGCTTTTGTGGAGCTTTAGGTATCCAAGATATGGAATGATGGGATATTTCAGGGGCTTCCGGATTTAATGTTCCAGAACAGAAAACATCAAAACGCATTGGGGGTATCATGAGATTTAATGGAACTGTAATGGGATATCATTGCATAGTTTTTGTTTTGGTTCTTGTTGAATTATGGTGGTAATGAGTGAGATCGCATTTGTATCTGGCTGGTGGTTTGGAACTTTTTTTTCCATATATTGGGAATAATAATCCCAACTGACTAATATTTTTCAGGGGGGTTCGGGAGAACATGGAAGACCGGTGAACGATGTTGATCAACGTTTTCCCAATGTTGGATTTGTGGTGGATTTGACAATCCACAATCGGATGGGTCAAACAAACTAACAGATATAGCGGGCGGGCGCACTTTGTAGGGTTTCAATAAACCAGAAAGATTTCATCAACAAAAACGCTGGCTTTAACCATCAATGAGTTTGATTAAACCATCAATAAGATTCCCTATTGACCTGGCCTTCAGATTGGAGGGTGACTGGCAATTTTTCAACTTTTCTTCCTTGGTATTTGGAGTCTTGGGAGCACAACCCGAAAATGTCCCCAGTACATCAGCTCTTTATCCCATCTCCTGATGAGATTCCCATTCTGGTTGGTTAAGGTTGCCATTTTTCATGGCTTTGATACCCGATTTTCATGTGTTTTCATGGTTTAACAACATGAGATACCCAATTTGTTGTTTTTTCCCCAATAAATGTCATTTTATGGGTTTCTCCATTTCCAGACAGACAATATCATATTGTTGTTTATGGCATGCGGCTGATACGCCACCCTTGGAAGGGTTGCCTTTTTTGAGATGTGCCATTTACGATCGCGTGGAAGGGTTGCAAATTTGAAAAATGAAGTTTGCGAAAATGGGGGGGTGGGGGGGTGTGATAACGTTCTTGACGAGCATTATACATGGCCCACGGAACTTGTTGCCGCTGTATACAAAAAAAGGTACTCTTGGGCTTACAGCTGGACATGGCGTCATAATGTCGCCTTGATTCGCCTTGTTGGATTCTGTGGCCGTGGCGTTACCGAAAGCACTCTGGCACTGAGGCTTCGAGAAGAGAAAAAGACATGGATGGGTGGATGTTTGCATGGGGTACTTGAAAATCATAAATTTCTGATGTTTTTTTTAAAGCCTCGAAGAACAAAATCGATTTACCGCGCAGGCGAAACGCACATTTTGACACTTGAGTCACACGCCTGCCAATCGACATGATTGTCCATGTTGCAAACATTTTTTGACAAGTTCCACAAATACCAGCATTTTGTCTCTTAGCCTCGAAAATGTCAATTTCAAATTTGTCACCCTTTTAATACAGTATATCCATTACTTTGCCATCAGAACCCAATATTATAATTATAATACCCAAAATGTTACCCAGCATAATTGATTTTTAAATATCATTCCCAACCACATCACCACCAATTTCATCCCCCAAATCCCCATGAAACCATATGTTATCACCATGTTTCCCCAATTTCTTCACATGAAAATCGCCATTTTCCGCTGCGTCCTCCACGGCTGAGGACGCCCCGCCCCGCCGGCGCCGCCTATGGCGCCTTCTCGGAGCCCACGGAAGCCCTGCAGCGATACCACGCGAGGGCCTCGGTGGTGGAACGCCGCGAGCACGGCGTGGATTATCATTACATGGCGACCCAAACCAAGGCGGAACCGGGTGGAAAATCGCTGGAACATCTGTGGAAAATCCGACCAAAATGGAGGTTATATGTGGGAAAATCAAGCATACGAAATGGAAGTTTATGGGAAACAATCATTGAACTAAATGATGGATTGCAATGATTGCCGGAGGGTAAGTAGATCAAAACGAGACAAAATAACAAAGAAATGACTAAAAATCCAGAAATAATGGGGATGCAATGATGATTTGTTATTCTCCCCATTGGGAAATCCATCATTCAATAAGGATATGTTTTTTTTTGGTGGGAAATAACGGCAAGGGCAGCGAGGGGAGGTGAGGTGAGGTGAGGTGAGTTGTCGGGTAGCTAAGTTGATACTAAACATGGAGCGCTGAAATTTGACTATAAACATTGGAGAACGCTATATTTGAGACGGGTAGCTAAATCGGGATTAGCTATAATTTCTAAGTGTCCATAAACCTAGGGGATCAACATGCATAAATTCTCAGCTACTTTGATCTATTTTGATTGTGAACAGAGGGATGCCAAACTTTTTTGGCCAACAGCCATATGCATCAGCAATGGCTTCATTTAACCAGTAGAAAATTGAGGAGCCTAGCTATATATATATATATATATATTGAAATTACAAAATTCAACAAGTGCAAGAAGTAAGAACAACTTGGTTTAAACTCTTGCAGTACTGGAAGCCCACGAATGCGAACGTCAAATGGCAATTGCTCATAGTTGATGCAGTAGTCCGATCAAAGTTGCTGCGGGGCCTGGAGATTTAACTGACAGGGGCTACACTACAGAAAATTGATGCTTCACAGATACGGTGCTTGAGAAAATCCTCGAAATTCCGTCGACTTTCATAGGCGGTACAAAATAGGTTTGCAGAGATGCACATGAATTCTTTACCCAAATCAATGCGACCCCAACTGGATTTTGAACTTTTTAGCCAATCTTCTCACAGCAGAAAATCAAAGTTATTGGGCCACGTGCTTAGAGAAGGAAATAAAGATCCCACGTGTCAGGGTCCAATATGGGGAAAATGTGCTGGTCGCCCAAGGCAAAATTGTTTTCATTATGCCAAAGAAAACACATGTTCGAACATTTTCGTCGTGGTTGCGAATATGCTGAAACAGTGGTTGAGAATGCGCGGATATATAATGCAGCCATGATTCGGACATTTGAATGCAATACTGATGGGACCTCACTGGACGGGTATGTGATAGATTGTTTTGACGGCGGGGATTGAGGTATTAATCTGACCAGCGAGACTAAAGCATTCTTTGGCAGGTTATGTAAGATGTGCCATTATCAGAGGCAACATGTAGATATAGGTATAACAAAAAGACTGATTGTTTGTTCAGTCTGGTCGGCCCTGAATGTTCGGATTGTGCCAAGGTGATTGCAGAGGCAAACATGCATGTTCATGTCAACTCTGTTTTTCCCCAGCTGTCAGGTGAGGGTTCTCTAGATTTTATCGGAGTTGCTTTCTCCTCCTTCTCCTCCTTCTCCTCCTTCTCCTCCTTCTCCTCCGGCGGCCTCGGATCTCAACTGCGAGTGCCGGATCTCAGTGGGCACTGCCGGGCCGGACCTCAACGATCTCAGTGGGCACGGCCGGACCTCAGCCACGAGCTAAAGATCTTAGCGCGCGCTACCGGACCTCAGCCACGAGCTCCAGATCTTAGTGCGCTACCGCACTTCAACCGCGAGCGCCAGATCTCACTGGGCACTGCCCACTAAGATCTGGCGCTTGGGGTTGAGGTCCGGCAATGCCCATGTCAGAGAGAATGTCAGAATAAATGCCAGAAGGAATGCTAGAATTGCTAGAATGAATGCCAGAGAATAGAATGTCAGAGAATGTATATGCCATATATACTTTGCCATCAGCGGTGTGCCTCCAGAGTGGCGATGGCGGGTCATGCGTGTGGACATGGCACGAAACACAGAAGCAGACAGTTTTCACCCAAGTCACTGCTGTGGCTATGTTTCAGTTTCACTTTAATTAACCGTTTGACCAGGGTTAACGCAGACCCCTGGCAAGCACAGGAAGCATATTCCCGTTGTGTCCTCCCAATCGACGGGGAACGGCATGCAAGCAATTCAACGCAGCAATTCAACACTTGCTTAATTGACTTTGCACAACCAGCCATTTTGGCTGACAAAAGAGCCTACAGGGCAAGCAATGCAACAGGTCTATGTAGTAGTCCTTGTGACTTTCCACAACTGCATGGGCCAATTTTAGATACCAACTTGATGACGGAGTTGGACACAAGAGTCATGTTCGTTAGCATGGTGTTGGTCTATGTGATCTCCTTTGAGCTGGCCTTCTTCCTGGCGTGTGCTATCCATACCAGAAAGCCTCGTAGACCTAAGAAAAGGATAATGCAATCCATACACCACCACAAGGCTAACAAGCAGAAAGGCAAGTGGCTTCTACACGCCAGGCGGTGTGGAGCAGCCAGACACCGACAGGCCCGCCAAGCGGCACATCGACTAAGCAGACTTCAAAGAAGGCAGTGGCAACTTACATGCAAAGCAATCATTACCAAGAGGATGTTACGATCCTCTCATACAAAGTGGTTTGGCAAACCTGCTGAGCGCACGGCAGTTTTCCTTTCACCACTCCAACCTTGCAGCAACATTACACCACACCCTGGCTGGGTGGGAGGCAAGGGTGCAGCCGAAGCAACGGCCACCCGACACAGGCCATTACACACACAGCAAGAAGGGACACCAACCAGATTCGTTGTTCCAAAGGCAGCCAATGAATCTACCCTTCCCAGTTTACAAGCTAACCACCATGCCGATGCCTACCCTCACTGGGTGGGTGGTAAAGGCGGCGCTGCAGCAGCAACTACCCGACGCAAACAACAGCACAAGCAGGTCAATGATGAGCCTTCTTTGCTTGAAGCGGTGGAGGCTACAACTCGCACAATTCGATTGGGGCTCCTCCAAGAACAACAACTCCTGGGCGCACTGCAGCAGCTACTACATCGCTACGATGCCAACAGCAATTACCAGGAGAAACAACAAGACACACGATGCAAAACTACTCAAGAGCAATGCCAAGGGTACAGCATGAACCTTTGGTCACACCAGCGTGGGGGTCAGCAGTCTTACTACCCAACCACCACGCAGCAAAAGCATTGGAGCACTGACGCTCCGCAACCGGCAGCGCGCAAAGTGCAACTTCGCCAGCCACAGCAAAAGCAACGTCACATCCAAGGCTTCACCACCAGTGAGTGGCTACACACCCCAAAACTCACTACTGCAGATATGCTATTGGATGCTATCAGCAACGGCAAAGACCTTCCTGGCAATATCGCGGAGGTCGATGAGCAACAATGTGAAGACATCACCGATGCCTGGCAAGCCTTCGAACCCTCACAAGGATTCACCCTTTTCTGGCAGGGCAACACGCCACCTGCAGAAGGCAGCACCAGACGAGTGCGGGCGCAACTTCTCGGCAACAGCCAATTCGTTCCAACACAGCTGGTCCTACGCAGCTTCGGCACCAACTGCCCTTTTCCCAAAGCAGCCACCTTGGCCAAGATCCCACAAGATCTCGCCACAGAAGGCCGATGCTTCCTTCGCATCACGGCCCCACAACACTTCCGGCAGGTTTTTCGCAGCAGCAACAAACCAGATGAGCCCAGCCAGATTTTAGCTGAAATCTCAAGCTGGCAACTCCCCGCAGCAACTCTTGGTCAGCTCACGGGCGGAGACTGGCAACGGCTTTGGACCAAACAAGGCAACCACATCCAGGGCCACATCAAAGTCAGAAACGCCCTTGCAGAACAACTGTTGAACAAATCTGGTCACAAAGCCATTTTCTTTACCAAGACGGGTGCAAGAGACGGGCAAAGCAAGGTCCAATGGCACAAACGCCAGCAAGAAGAGACCGACGAGGACTACTTCAGAAGAGTTGCCAACTTAGCTAGCGGATCAGCCATTCGGTTCCGCACAGGAGGTGCCACTGACCTTGGCACTGACAGCAGTGATACCACCAGCAATGGCCAAAGACGTGCTCATTTTGAACTCCAAGGATGTCCAGCCAAATGGGATGACAAGATCTCATCACCTTCCTTGAATCCAATCAATGGGCCGTCCATACTATCCACAGCCAGAGGAAAGGTTACAAAGGTTCCATCACATGGATGTTTGATGCTACGTGCCCTGTAAACCCAGATGGGGGCGACAGCTTCTTCTACGAGGGGGACCTCTTCAACATATACATCTTTCCCAGAGCACCTGGGAGACGCAACAACTCCTACAGAGAACCTCTGTGGGGCCCCAAGCAAAAGTGGGGCACTACAAAGCAGCAACCCAAAGACAAAACCGAGCCAGAGGAAAGACCGGGCAAACGACACTGCCCGGCTATCAGAGGAGAACATCCCGAGGACTCTGAACACAGAAGCCCGGATGCAGCTCAGCCAGCCGAAGTGCCTCCAACCCAACTGGACCCTACAACTCAATCCCAAAAGAAGCGGGATGCTCCGGAGCTTGACCAGGCCCCTACTTTGCCTCCGGACCCTGCCAATCCCGAGCACATTGAGCACGCCATTGCCAGCGGCTGGCTAGAGAAAGATAATGGCGGTGTCGGCGACTGCTTCTTCCGCAGCATTATCAAAGCTGAAAATCACTGGAACAACAAGGTTGAAACCGACCTGGAAATCCAAAAAGCCGCCCTTGACTTACGTCTCGAAGCAGTGAAACACATCCGCAAACATCGCCACGACTACGAAGCCGCCTGGGTCCACGACGACATGGAGCGTCAATACCAACGCGCAGGTCAACCACCCCCAAAAGACTTCGATGATTTCCTGACTCAAGCCAGCAAGAAATCCTACTGGGTCAACGAACACTTGATCCAAGCAGCCAGCACCCGCACCGGCATCCCCATCATCATCTGGCGTGCCTACACAGGTCCTTCTGAATCCACTGCAAAGGTCAACTCCGCTGACAGCAACACCCCTGAACCTCAACCAGGCAAAAAGCTTTGGCACAGAGGCATTTGGGCTCCTAGCTTCAAACAAGGAATTGCAGCTAGCAATAACAAATGCAAGGGCATCACCCTCATCCTGAGAGCCAATCACTACACTTGCGTGCTTCCACCTGAGCACCAGCAAATACCCCCCACCCCTTGGCTCCGCCAAGTTCACTCTTCCCATCCCAGGCAATGGGTTGCGGGGGGCCATCACAGGGAGCGATCCACACCGATCAAGCCATCTAGCAGCACTCCGAGCCAAGCTAAAGCACATCAATGGGGTCCCTACACACCAAAAAGGATCACCACCTCCACACCAGAAGCCCACTCCACGTCCAGCAGGGCTACCCACATCGAAACACCAACGAGACCCACACAGCGGTGGGGTCTCAACACTCCGGCAGACAGTGCCCACAAGGCGCTGGCCGGCCCCAGCACGGCTCGCTGGGAACAAAGCACGCCGAGAGCTGCTCACAACGTCAGCGCTCGCAGCAAAGCTAGCAACAGCAAAAACAAAAGATGGGGAGACTCCACACCCACATCTGTCAACAAACACCAGCATTTGCAGCAAAGCAGCAGCCAAACAAAAAGGCAGAAGCGGGGTGACGGCACACGCAGCACTGCCTGCCGGTGGTGTGAGCACACACCCGCCAGCAGCCACAAATACCAACCCAGCCAAAGCAGCCAGCCTGATGAAACATGGACCTGCGATATCTGTGGCACCATCTTTCGGCACTTTGACAGAAAGCAGCTTAGGTTCCTCAGGTCCAACCATATCTTCTCTCGACACTCTGAGATTCCGCGGGAGAAGTTCACGAAACTTCGTGTTCGCCAGCCCCTGGTCATAGCACACCCTCCCACCCCTGGAGTCCAGTTCAAGTGGCAGTGCGTCTTTTGTGACCACGGGTTGCCGCAGCCCACTAGCAAGCTCCATGAACGTTCTGTTCGGCATCATTACGACACAAAGCACAAGAGACGCAAAGTCTCAGTGGCGTTGATTAACAAAGCCAGAGCAAAACTTTACAAGCAAAACAAAACTACCCCTGAAGTTGCAGCCGCGATCACCAAAGCCAGACTGCAAGCTGGCAGGTCGTGCGCCAGTTTTCGGGAAGCTCAGCGTGATTACAGCAGAGGTGGTCACAAGTTGGTCAAGTACACTCCAGCAAACCCGACACCACGCAAGATCCATGTCACTTGCACTCGATGTTGGCGTTTCCGAGCTTTTGGTACTTCTTGGTTTGAACCTTGCCGTGGGAAAAGAGCCAAGCCGAACTATGCCCACAGCAGCTATTGGCAACGAGCTAGCCAATACGACAAACAGCAGCTCATCACAGCTTGGAAGACCACCCTTGAGTTGGCCAACAGGAAATTTGACCAGCTCACGGAGCAAGGCATCGAACCACACCCAGGTCCTTCGTCTTCTAGTTGCAGTTTGACCAGTCTCAATGTTCGCGGTGGTTGTGGTCTTTGGAGAACATTGAAGCACTGGCAACCCAACCGAATTCTGTGCCTACAAGAAATTGGAGTCAAGCCAAATGAACTCCAAGCTTTCGAAAACCGTGCCAAAAAACATGATTGGAAGTGCTATCACCAAGGGTCTGCAGACCCTCAGCAAACACATTGCGGTGTCATCACCCTGGTTCCTGCTACTTGGCAGCAACGACCGGGCAAAGGTTATGCTCACAACAGGGCGCAGCTTGTACTTACTTGGGTCTGGGGCATTGCTATTCTCAACCACTATGCGCCGCCGGGCAGTCCTGAAGACACTGCCACCAACTTGCTTGTTGCAGCAGCAGAACACAACCTCTACAACAACCAATGGATTAGCGCAGGGGATGCCAACGGAGTTCCAGTCCCCCACAGATCCGTTATTGCAGCGGCAATCGATTCTATTGGAGGCGCTTTTCATTCAGATGGACAGCCTACAACCAATACTGGCAGCAAGAACATTGATTGGTTTGCAAGCTCTCCAGCCACTTTGGGTAGCAACCCTTCTCGTGAATTGGTGTCGCTTAGTGACCATTTTCCCATCCATTTGGATATCGACCGGCCGACCCCGGCCTTGGCCTGGCAGGGGCGTTTGCAGCAGCAACCTACTTGGCGCAAACCGCAACATTTGGAAACCGCCGAGTGGCGTCACCATTTGGAAACTACTTGGTCAGACCTTCGTCAGCAAGATTCGGTACAAACTTTTCTGCACAGTTTACAGGTAGAACCTTCCGATGGCAGTATTCAGCAGGAATGGAACAAGTACCTTCAGGTGATCACTCAGCTATATCAGCAAACAGTGCAGCAGCTTTTAACACAGCAACACGAGGACACTCCACTTCGGCGGGACTTGCAACAGCTGGCCAAGCAACCCAAAGCCAGATGTGACACCAAAGGGCTGCCCGCTACTCACCAGTGGATAAATCCTCCTCGTAGTACTATAAGGGCTTCACGTGACAATGAAGCTTGCAGGAAAGCAAACAGAAGATTGGCCAGGCTTTATGAAGTTCAACGCCTTGCCAAGAGGAACTTGATGCCGCCGCGCACTTTGCTTTCTCGTGTTTGGAGAGATTGCCCTGAAGATTTGCCTTGCGTGGAAATTGTGGAAAGAGCAACTTGTGACATTGCCCAGGCGCAAGCAGAGCGTCAACGGCAAGAACATGCGCAACAAAACCTTCAAGATTGGAAACGCAGTGTCAGCTCAACTTCAGGTCTTTGTCGTTGGCTTCGTTGCAAAAGTGAAGTTCAAGGCAGCGCACATGTTTGTCTCGATGGTCAGGTCGCAGCTGACCACGTGGACGCGGCCAAGCACATTTTTGGATTTTGGCAAAATTTTTGGGTTCAGCATCCCAATCGCAATTTGGACCATGGCGCCATTGGCCAGCAGCTGGCACAGCAAATTTTGGCAAACAGGCCCCCGGGGAAGCTCCTCTTCAATTTAGGTCGCCGACCTTTCAAGATTTGAAAAGTGCAGTCCAGCGGGCCAAAGGTTCTCCAGGCCCTGATGGTTGGCATGCCGAGGAAATTCGCAATCTCCCAGAAGAGTGTTTGGAGGTCTATTTTCTTTGCGTTTGCCGCTGGCAGTCTACTGGTACACTTCCCGTTCAATTGCAGGAAGCTCGCCAGGTCAGTTTGCCCAAGGCTCACAAAAGCAGCAGTAATGGTACCATCGAGGTCAAGAACTTGAGGCCCATCACGGTTATGTCCAGTTTTTGGCGCATCTGGGCGGCAATGTGGCTTCAAAGCGCAGCTTTACAAACCTGGCGACAACAATACATTCCGGCTTGCGTGGCAGGAGCAAAAGGTGGTTTGGGGGCTGAGGACTTGGCCGCTCGCCTTCAAACTTCGTTCGCTGCCCGCAATCAGTTCTTGGTCAGTCTTGATTACAGTCAGTGTTACGATGCTATGCACCCTGAAATCACTGCTTCCATGCTCAAGGAGTTGGGATTTCCAGCAGAACTTTGGTCTTTGCTTCGCCTTGGCTGGGGACAGCAGTGGCGTTGGCTCCAGTAGGAGCGACACACCCATGACCAAGGGTTGCTTGCTCAACAAGCTACACCGCAAGGTTGCCCCCTGGCTCCATTTATTCTGGGACTTTGGATGACAGCAGGTTGGCAGAAGGTTGAACAAGACATGCGTGACAATGGGTTCCTTCGACTACGTCTTGTATTTACATGGATGATCGCAGTTTTTTGTGTCCTACTTTGGCTGCTGCAGATGCTCAGGTGGCTTACTGGAATCACTGGAGCCAGTCTGTGGGGCTCCGTGAAAACCAGCAGAAAATTCAGGCAACAGCAAAAGGTCGCACGCAGCGTGCTGCGCTGGCCCAGGCTCATCCGGAATGGTTCAAGGAAGAAGTGCACATTTTGGGATGTTCCACAACCAGCACCGGCCGCAGGAAGAACACACAGCAGGAAATTGACCGCTTGAAGAAAGCCAAGGCCCGAGCATTCTTGATTGACTGTGCTAGGCCCAACTTCGCAAACTTGGTTGGTCACACTCATCGACTGGTGGTGCCGTTATGCTCCTATGGTTGGATCAGCAAGAAGCCTACTAAGGAGGACTCGGACAGCTTGTTCAAGAAATTGACTTCAGCTACACACAGTTGTCGCATGGCCAATGAGAACATTCGCAAGATTTGTTACGGTGCTGCAGTGCATTTGGACGTGGTTTGGGCCACCCGTATGTTTCGCGCAGTCATCCGACTTCGGCAGTCTGGTTGTGCTTGGCAGAACAAAGCAGCTACTTGTGTTGGTTTGTTGAGACGCTGGCTTGTGAACAATGGCTGGGCTGAGGTGGGCCCTTGGTCTTGGCACAACGGTCGTGAACGTCTGTGCGCGGAGGTCTCGCAACAGCAGCCTGTTTCCCTTGCTTTGCATAACATCCGTCAGCAGTGGAGACGGCAGCAGTTCATTCTTTGGTTGCGTGGCAAAAGACACGAAGCACATTTCCTATTGGCGCAATATTCTGAACAGCAGCTCCTTGGCTTCTTTGATGGGGTGGACTGGGAGGCTACGCGTTTAGCTTTATTGCATGGTTCAGCAGCAGAACGTTCAGTTATCCTTGGAGCGGTGGTCTCGCCGTTGTGGCTCCATCGCAGTGGCAAAGAATATGAGTCGGGGCATTGTCCCTGGTGTGATGATGTGTCGGGTCATTGGATGCATCTCGCTTGGTATTATTGCAATAGCATGTCACCTGCAGGCCCTGTGCCTACGAATCCTTTGTTGGCTCGTTTTGGCTGGCAACTTCACGGCAGGCAGCAGTACAGTGTTTCGTGTTTGCATTGGCTTGGGCAGGTGCAGCAGGAGCTCTGGCTTGCCCGGTTCGGGCAAGCGAACTAAGGTTTGACTTTGGCCTCTTCGGGGGCCGCTGCGGGTGCCGGCCGGGGTTCAAGGCCTACGGCATCCCTTTCCAACCAACTACACAACACCATATATACTTTCAGGTGAGATGTCAGAAACCGTGACAAATAATTTGTCACCGTGGTGATCACTCGAAGTAAAGGGAAAAAATTCACCCTGCAAGGAAAGCTGGGCGAAAATGATGTTGCGTCAGGTAACAGCAGAAACGGTGCTGTCATGGTTTGATGCTTCCAGGTGGCTTGGTTTCTCCCGCGATCCCATATATACTTGCATATAATATGGGTTTGCGTTTTGTGTGTGCTTACTAGCGCATTGATTTCCCAATGCCCCATTCCAACATGGCAATCTTCCCTGTTTCGCCAGGAATATTACACATTTGGAGAATCTACGTGGGACCTTGTGTTGTTGATCGGTACCGGTACACTTGGTCCTGCCGGGGCCGCCCAAACCATTGTGGCATGGCGAAGCAGTTGCCGGATGACCTCAGTAAAATTCCAAGCAGTGGAACAAGTTGTTTCGGACAGAGAATTTATTGGTTTCATGATTTTTGTTGTAGTATAAAGTTCAATCTCTGTGGAAGGCAGCAGGGACAGTCGCCGGAACACACGATCTACTATGGCAAAAAAAATGGCAACCTTTATAAAATGGGGATTCTTACGATTGGAAATCCACCAAATTAAGTGTATAACAATGGTTGTTTTTAAAGGGATGCCCAGCTCATGGATCATGATGATGGTCAATACTATGCGCCCCGTTAAATTGTATAAAATAGTTTTATTTGGTTTTGACATATACATACATCCATGCATGCATGCATACATACATACATACATACATATATTTAATTATATATTTACAATACTCATATATATACACACACATATATATATAATTATATATATATATATTATCTGAATATATATATATATATATCATTTTTGTTTTAATGTTATAGATCATTTCCTATTAAAACCATATATAATTACTTGCATATTTATATATCATAAAAAAATAAGAGAGAACAGTATATACACACATATATATATATATATGTTAGATTGCAAAGGGGTACGCCCCAGCCCCCGACCATGTTTCATTTTCAACGATCATCCAAGTAGGCCCGCCGACTGGAAAAACGCCATAAACCACTGAACACGGAATGATCATGCGGGTGAGAGGGGATATTTTTTTTTTCGTCCTACGACGATTCATATATTTGTTGAATGTGAATGTTTCAACCACGCTTGGCAAAAACATGTTTTTCTGACCGGCGGGGCCTAGCTGGCGCCAAAATAGTGCCAGCAAAATAGGGTAATTGATCAGGCGGTGCAGATTTTTGAACATATTAGTGAGGGGGGCGATGAAACTTGGTGTGGAATTAGTTCCCAGAATCTCCCGGCGGGTTTGGAAACCAACTAGTGCAATCAGTTCCTGCCGGTTTGTTTCACCTGTTATTAAATGGTGGGAAATTGTGGGATAGAGCCTGCCTTGATGCACTGAGCACTGTGCAACATGTAACCATAACATATTGCACCTTTTGCTTTCAAGTACTTTCAATATATCTTGTGCAATGGATATTTTGTACTTTTTCAACTACCGCAAATCCACAATATTCGGGTAGCCCAGCCATTTTTATCCCACACCCAGGTTTTGGTGGTGATGAACATCCTGATGCAAGGCGTCTTCGTTGGCATCGCGTGGTTCAACTTTTTGGAACCCGACGTCGACGCACAGACCATGCGGCAGGATGCCTTTCGCTGGCGGAGGTCCTCGGCACACTCACTGAGTGACCCGGTGAAACGCTTGGCGAACACAAAGAGATTGTGCTGGGTGTTTCTGGTTGAATCACAGAGTGACCGTGGGTAGAAAATAGAAGCCTTGTAGTTCATGTTGGGTGATATTTCTTTGAATGAAATTCCACTTGTCTTGGGAGTCTGATTGATGGGTTGTTGAAACTTGTTGCTAGCATGATCATTCAGCTTCCTCGGAAAAACCGGAATTCATATAATTTTGCAAGATACATGTTTTTTCAGAGTGGCACGAGAATAGGTGTGCCAGCACATTTTGGCACGATCATTTCACCATGGACCTGTTTAAGCCCATTTTTGCCACAGTTTGCTTCTTTGTTTACAGCACTTCACTTGCCTTTTGTTGCTTCCACCAGCATTGCGGAGGTTCAGCTCATGTTCGCAGTTCATTTTGAGATGACGCCGGGATTCAAAATCAAGAAACAAACAACATCCTATACTATACCCTTATACTTGTGGACTAGCCGGCGTCCACTTGTTGGACCGGGGCTTCTTGAGGAAAAAGCCCGAGAGGCTTGTGTTGTCAAAGCCACCGTAAAGAAATAGAAGACCTGCAATCAACATTTTCTGGCACACGCTTTTCGAAAGGAACCCACTGCCCGCCGACTGATTCATGTCAGCTTGACGAAGGCTTTGTTAGCATGGTCTCCAGATGCCGCTAGCGTGCGCGCGCGAATGACCATCCATCGAGCTTCTGATGGATATATCACATCACTGAGAGACAGATTGGGGGAAACACAGACAGCGTCACAGCGTTAGCGAAGATGAACCAAACTCATGGTGAGCATGATAGGGGGTAATCAAGAGACACAGCCGTGGCATGAGAAGCAGCAACAAACACGAGAAAACGCAACAAAACCCGGAGAAGCACAGGAATGTATGGAAAACATTTGAATTTCTGGAGTGGCCTAAGAATTTCCTGTTCCTGATGGCGTTGGATGCTACTTACCCAGAATGGTTCTAATGATCCCCAACAGCTCTTAGTATTGGGCCCCCAAATTGACTATTGTTTGGTGGGTTTCAGTTGGTTTTAACCCAAGATTAATTACATTGAATTACGCCCATATATCGACCATAGCCACGATTAAGTACACCTATATATCATCGACCATAAACGCAACAGTTGTTGGAAGTATGTCTGCCATTTGGCTCTCAAAGTGGGGCACAACTGCTCCTACCAGGCGAGTATGATGCGGTGTCACGGATGTCTTTGGCGGAAAGGGTTTGTACTGGCGACAAGTCCTTGCACCTTTCTGGAGTTCAGATGGGCCTCATCGAGGACATCGGGAAGTATCTCAAACCAACCAAGGAAGGAGTCTCGCCCTTGTTGTGATGGTGATTGCATGGTGATTTTCTCATTGGGATAATGTGGGACAATATGGTATGGATTATTTTCTTGAAGGAAATCCATGGTAATAAGGGGATTTTGGGGGATTTTGGTTAGGACTCCTGAAGCAAATCCAAGGATTGGAAACCTATTTTGCAGGACCAGTCCTTTGCATGGTGGCGCTCATTTGCTGCTGGTGGTGGTTTTAGGCATTTTTTTTGTAGTTTTATTAATCCATCATTGGATGGATGAAGATATCATATCCCCAACTGTTTCTTTTTATGTTCCAGGAACATGATGTTTGTGAACCCCACTGACTGACCTTCAGAATGTTTCTGGCGGCGGCGCAACTCCCAATCCCAGAATTGGTTAAAATGAATATTTACCCAAAATTGCCACTGAAAATCAATTACTGTATCGCCCTGGCAATTATTGGTTGTACTTCCAATCCTGTCAGTCAATCCACCTTTCCCTGCCATAAAACCAACCTATTCAGATTTGACACCCCCTTTGTTTGCCTGAGCTTCTTGCAGCCTTTCTTTTATGGGAGCGAATCCAAACCCCACGAAGAAGCCCACCAACCAGGCTGGTACATGATGGTCGGGAAAGAGGTGAGCCATGCACTTGGGCTACACAGAGGCCTCCTGGCGATTCCTCGAGGGGAGAACAAAATCGAGCCTCGGGAGAACCCATTCACGCAGATTACGCACTTGAGGTTTCTGGGCTGCTTTATAGCATCTATTAGTTGACACGCACAGACAGAGAGATATGTATGTATACAAATACATTAAACTATATGTTCGTATATAATTAACTGTGCGACGTAGAAAGTGGCATCATGACCCTGCTGCAAATGAGACTACCCTGGTAATGAAACTGAATTAACTAATGTGGGCTTGAAATGGCCTGCTCAATAATATTCTGGATTTCTCCGTTCGTTAATCCTCCAACAATGGGGTCCAAAAAGGGGGTGACTTGCGAAGGTCTGGTTAGATTTGGGTTATCGCAAGTCTTGAGGTTTTAGATCGTAGGCAAGGGGTGCCAGATTGGTCAGATGGGATGGGCCCGACATCCCAAGGTTGGTTTCGATCACCAATCGATGGGTGGTGGCGAGCTATTGTTTGTTGATCTATCGGCTCGTTGCCGCTGCCCTTCTCATATACGTCGGAACCTTTTTCTTGGAACCTTGGCATTTCAGGTGCGATTGTATGGTGGTGGTTGCGCTTCATGCTTCAGAGACAGGGTATCACAAGTCTACAGTTGGGCCAATCTATTCATGTGGTTGTTTATATAGCCTGATTATAGAGACTTTGAGATTGGGTTGAGTGCTGGTACGATTCGGTGTTGGTGGGAGGCAGTATTCTGGCTTGACTAGAGGCTAAGTTCTTCAAGGTGTGTAAGCTGCGCATGGAACAGTACATCAACTCTTTGCGGCCGGTGTGTTTCACAGGCAAGGGCACATCAGAAAACTGGCGCAACGTGCCGGAATAGATGCCAGATCGCAACTGTATGCCACTATAGATGCCAGAAAAAATGTCAGAAATAGAATGTCAGCATACATGCCAGAAAGGATGTCGGAAGACACATCAGAAAGAACACCAAAATACATGCCAGAAAGAAAAACAGACTGTGCCAGAAAGAATATCAGAATGAATATCACAATACATGCCAGAAAGAATCTCAGAACACATGCCAGAAAGAATGTCAGGTAGAATGTCAGAATAGATGCCAGATTTGAGCCATCCTGCACCTCATCAGATAGCAAGCTCGCAGAATCTCCGTGTCACCATGTCAGAACACATGTTCACACATGTCAGAATACACATGAGGCTTAATTTCAGTCTACGCGTCAGGAGAAAATATGGGAATATGTTCATACGTCAGATTTCTAGCGGAACGCGTGTAAGACTACATGCCAGCAAAATTGACCGTATATAGGCCAAAAGAAGTATCAGACTTGTCAGAATTAATGCCGAATTCTTGTCGGCCTAAACATCAGGCAATATTTCTGCAAACGTTATGAAAATATGTTAGATGATTCACACAGTCAGTCAGAAGATATGCCAGATTATATTTCAGAGTACGTGTCAAAAACGTGACTAAATTATTCCATAGACATGGCAGAACCGGGGTCTATGTGTAGGACCAATTATGGTCAACATATATGTTGTTTTTTCCACACCTGCCATGTGAGGGACTCTTGATTTAAACAAAGGATCCGCAGGCACAGTACAGGTACACTCCCAGACGATGATAACCTACCCCAGCTCCCGTGCTAGCATGTCGCCAGCTTGTTTGCCAGCTTCTCCTACACAGCCATTCTGTAGCGCGTGTGCCAGCGCCGGACCCGAAGACTCTTTGGGGCGCACCGGACCCGAACCCTAAACTTCTGGGGCGCGCCGGGCCCGAACTCTATGCTAGATCAGATGCCAGATCAGATGCCAGGCAAAATGCCAGAAAGAAGGCCCCATCAAATGCCGGACAGGATGCCAGATAAAACGTCATAAATTATGTCTGATATAATGCCAGATATAATATGATATGTCAGACGGAATTTCAGGTACAATGCCAGATTTAATGTCAGATAGATGAGCGTCAGATGGAATGCCACATAGACTGTGGCAGATAATGTCAAATACAGTGCCCAGAAAGAATGCCGAAATAGTGACAGAATGCTAGCAAAGAGTGGCAGATAGTATGTCGATAAATTTCAGATAGGATAGAATGCCAGACAGAGTGCCAGAAAGAATGCCAGAACATATGTCAGGTAGAATGCCAGATAGAATGTCAGATAGAATGCCAAATAAAATGTCAGAATATATGCGAGATAGAACGCCAGACAGAATGTCAAAATCATTGTGAGGTACACTGCCAGATAAGGTGTCAGATACAATGTCACAGAATATATGTAATATAAAATCCAGAATATGTGTCAGAATATATGCCACAGTGGGGGTCAGTCAAAGAATGTATTTTAATCAGGTTTGATGTGAGCATTTTTGTCCGGATGTACTTGTGCGAGCATGTTTCTCACACGCAATGCGTTTTACACGGCAGGGTTCAGACAAAACATGTTTCCTTTCGATTCATGCGCATCTTGAATCTTTGGTGCCTTGCTACTAGAAATTCTATAGGATATGTGTTCGGTTCAAAAAATGAGGTGTACACCATTGACGTGACAGAGTTGATTTTGAACGCAGTGGCGCTGGACGCTCGGCGTTTTCAAACAATCTTTTGCTTTAGCGCTGTCCCCGAAAAAAGTTCGGATCCCTTTGGGTATTGGAATTCATCTCATATTGTTGGATTGTCGTTTTTTTATTTATTGGGTTTTGATATGACTACATTGTTGAGTTGAAAATTGCGGGTATTCTTGGAAAACCATACGATATATCAGTGGAATCCTAAATCATGTTGGCTTGTGTCCCCCAGTAACGTCATGAAAAAGTCCAAATTTAATTTCAAAATCCAAATCTTTCAATATACCCAATATATGTTTCGGACAAGTCTTGATTTTTTCGTCCCCAGTAATCCATTATTAGTAAATCATATCTAGAATGAAAGTCAAAATACTCCACTATATACAGAATACGATTGAATAATTCTAAGTGTGTAACATGTTCAATGTTTATCCCAGGAAATTATTTTGGACATCGATGACCTGATTTTTGACTCCTTGGCCACCACTTCGGGTCGCCATTTGGTGAACCACCTGGAACCGCTCCCGATGCCCTCCTTGCCACGCGTGCGCGGGGCGGATATCAAGTCGATCTTGATGAGCTGCATTCTGCGCCTTGGGCTGCCGCGGGATGCCCAATGGGATGCCCGGTGGGATGCCACGGAGGGGGTCAACACCATGAAAGCATTTAATAACCCATGACGGATCCATGGTGCTGGTATATATGCTAACATGACTGAGGTATATTGATATTTTACCCTCTGGTAAAGGTTTACAAAAACTTTTGGGAAAGATCCACCATCTTTGGATGGGTAAATCAACTATTTCGACTGGGCCATTTTCAATAGCAAACTGTGAATGTTTACCAGGGGGTAACATTTAATGCCATGGATTCCCCATTAATAGTTGTGTTTTATCTATGTAACTGGGATTTCCCTTTCATATTGAGACCAGCACCGTGCATCGTTTGGATATTCCAACAAAAACGACTGAGGAAACTAATCATGAAACTATGATATCACATGATATCATATGATATCATATAATACGGTATCACATGATATCAAACATCACTTCTGTATCATTACAACGGATTAATCGGGTTTAATGAACTAGGGGGCTAAACCACTAATAATGAACAACATCGACATATCATTAATTAAACCGTCAGTATCGATTAGTCACGCGGGGTAAACCATGACTAGTGATTAAACCATCGGTAGTGGGGACATTCAATCAATAATTAGTTATATTGATGAGACCACGATTGAATCATCAATAACTGAACGGGGTAACCCACAACATTAAGGGAAAATCCAACAACCTCATTTTCGAGGTGGTTCGTTACATGTCATGGACTTTCATGGCAAACCCGCCTGCTTTGCAGTACAAAGAAATCATCTAGGCATGTAAGTGGGGTGGATGCCAACAAAAACAATGGCGCCATGTTTTCTCAAAGTATGATTGTTTGTGCTATATATTCAACTAAATTTGGGATTATATTCCCAGTCGTGATAAAAATGATCCCCAGCATGATCCACGACATGTTGTTTGTTTTCGCTTTATCATGTTATTTATGTTTTTTCTATTATTTGTTTTCATTATTGTCTATTACTATAATTCATTGAAAATGAAAATGAATTGTCTATTATTATTCAATGTTGTTTGGTTGGTGCCACTTCTGCGATCAAACGACATCATGGGATTTTTCCGTGGGATGTTTGGTTATCCTCGGATCCAATCCCTGAAACCCATAAATGTTGTACTTGATGGAAACATTAGATTAGATAATCCAGTTTTGTATAGTCCAGTTATATAATCCAGTTTTTAAAATTAATAAACTTTAGATTAGATATGGTTGTACCATGTTGTACCGTCCCCTTTTTGGGGACATCAGCATTAAACATAGCAATGGTATCAACACATGTTTTTCCCAAAAGCATCTTCGATGCTTGGGTTCTCGTTTAGTTGTTTAACCGCGTGGGGGAGCGACCTGGCTCGAACGGTGGTGTGCGGACGGCGTGGGCGCAAGGGAAAGGAAAGGAAAGGAAAGGAAAGGAAAGGAAAGGAAAGGAAGGGAAAGGAAAGGAAAGGAAAGGAAGGGAAAGGAAGGGAAAGGAAGGGAGGAAGGGACAGGAAGGGAAAGGAAGGGAAAGGAAGGGAAACGAAGGAAAAAGGAAGGGAAAGGAAGGAAAAAGGAAGGAAAAAGGAAGGGAAAGGAAGGGAAAGGAAGGGAAAGGAAGGGAAAGGAAGGGAAAGGAAGGGAAAGGAAGGGAAAGGATGGGAAAGGAAGGGAAAGGAAGGGAAAGGATGGGAAAGGAAGGGCTGGTGATGAGCGACCTTGGCTGCGCGGACGGCTACGGACGGCAAATGGGTGCGGAGAATTGCGCGGATGGCTGCGGACGGCGTGGGTGCAACGGAGTGGCTGGAAATGGGTCGGGAGAAGAAGCCGCTGGTGATGAGCGACCTTGGCTGCGCGGACGGCTGCGGACGGCAAATGGGTGCGGAGAACTGCGCGGACGGCTGCGGACGGCGTGGGTGCAAGGGGGGGGCTGGAAATGGGTGGAGAGAAGAAGCGGCTGGTGATGAGCGACCTTGGCTGCGCGGACGGCTGCGGACGGCAAATGGGTGCGGAGAACTGCGCGGATGGCTGCGGACGGCGTGGGTGCAACGGAGTGGCTGGAAATGGGTGGGAGAAGAAGCCGCTGGTGATGAGCGACCTTGGCTGCGCGGACGGCTGCGGACGGCAAATGGGTGCGGAGAACTGCGTGGACGGCTGCGGATGGCGTGGGTGCAACGGAGTGGCTGGAAATGGGTGGGGAGAAGAAGCCGCTGGTGATGAGCGACCTTGGCTGCGCGGACGGCTGCGGATGGCAATGGCTTCCGGAGAACGCGCGTATGGCTTTCTGAACGCGTGGGTGCAAGGGGGTGGGGACGGCAATGGGTGCGGTGCAACTGCGTCGGGGGGAGGGATGGGCTGCGGAACGGCGTGGGTGCAACTTAGTTTCTGGAAATGGTTGGGAGAAGAGCGTCTGTGGTGAATGAGGCTAGCTTGGCTTCGCGGGGGACTGGGCTGGCGGACGGCAAATGGGTGCGGAGAACTGCGTGGACGTCGGCGGACGGCGTGGGTGCAACTGAGTTTCTGAGAATGTTGGGTAGAGAAAGGCCGGCTGGGGATGAGGCGGCTTGCTGCGCGAAACGGCTGCGGACGGCAAATGGGTGCAGAGAACTGCGCGGATGGCTGCGGACGGCGTGGGTGCAACGGAGTGGCTGGAAATGGGTGTGGAGAAGAAGCCGCTGGTGATGAGCGAGCTTGGCTGCGCGGACGGCTGCGGACAGCAAATGGGTGCGGAGAACTGTGTGGACGGCTGCGGACGGCGTGGGTGCAACGGAGTGGCTGGAAATGGGTGGGGAGAAGAAGCCGCTGGTGATGAGCGAGCTTGGCTGCGCGGACGGCTGCGGACGGGAAATGGGTCGGAGAGCTGCGCGGACGGCTGCGGACGCGTGGGTGCAACGGCGTGGCTGGAAATGGGTGGGGAGAAGAAGCCGCTGGTGATGAGCGAGCTTGGCTGCGCGGACGGCTGCGGACGGCAAATGGGTGGGGAGAATAGCGCGGACGGCTGCGGACGG